GATTTTGTTCGGTATATGGCACTATGCCACTGCGGCACTGTCGGTTTGGACAGAACCGCCTGCTGACAGCTGTTACTGGATTGCCTACAGCAGTCTTCAATGACAACAAATCCAACATGAACCTTTACCACTGAAGTGACTAACTTTTTTTTTTCGATTTTTTTTTTTTTTTGGTTATAATTTTATTTATTTTTATATAAAAACGTGTTGTTCACTCTGAGGTACTTCAAGGCTCATGACTATATGTTCACACAGCGGGTAAATGTATTAACTTAATAAAGCAAATAAACTTATTACGCGAATTTTCAGTTGTTGGATGCGCCTTTTACTTTATACCTCATTCATTTTACCTGTAAATAATGTTTTTTTTTTCATTATATTGGAATTGTTTATAGTTTGTGAATTTGCAAAAGTCATTCTTCAGTATTGCATCGTGATGCCTGGTTCCGTAATGTGTACAGAATGCTACTCGTATTTTTAGCAATTACTTAAGACCTCACCAATTTTATTGCTTTATTGTACTGTACTGCAAAAAAGGCTTAAGCATTACTTTTAAATAAAAATGATTTTTCTTTATTAATATTGATTTGTTGCAACAAACAAAAGTCACTTCTATTCTACTAGCATTTTTTAATATAGTTAATTAAAATATTTTATTGAAATTCAATTGAGTTTTTTATTTTAAAAATCAAATGCACAATATAATTTTTATAATATGTATGAGTACATTTATGAGATTGACATTTGCTGCTCTTTAGATGCAAAACTGAAATGCCATTGAACTAGGGTTATGACAGATATTTGAAAGTATAAATATATTAGAATTCAATCATTTAATTAATAACTATCTTAATAAATGAAGCTTAAGAATATTTATATATTAAGAAAATAAATAAAATTAATCATCACAAAAAAACCAGTGATGATGTGATTCTCGAATTAGTGAAAGAATAATGACATATTAACTAAGTCTTTTAGAGCAAAGAAATCGATTAAATTCAACTACTATAACTGCACTCAGAACAATATGCTCTAACCACATACTAGTTTAATTAACCTGATCACATTGTTAAAAAAATTTTAGCCCATATGTCAAAGAAGATATAAAAGTCAACATGTGGTATGGTCAAATCAGTTGGAATGTAAAGTCGAGTAAGAATATTTTAATCTGAGATTTAGTTAAAATCTGGATAATCAATCAAATTATTATTCTGAGTGTACTACTACAATGAAGTAAAGATGAAGTAAAGAATATATTCAGGCGTTAATACTAGGGCAGCTATAGTAGAAGTGTTCCATTGGTTTTTGATCTTTGACTTCTTTATAAATGCAACAATATTTATAAGAGAGAGCTTCCAGATTAAAATCATCACTACCAAACAAAAAGTGAATTGTTATTTAAATCAAGACTTTATACATATTCCTGGTAGACTAAGGAAATCGCTTAATTTCTTCGTATCAAGTATCGACCACTTTAGTTTATATATTAAACTAGTGTTTTTATTTGCCTGTTTTGTTGGTCTGTTGAACAACACTTCCTTCAAGATACTTCGCCTTTAAGATAATTCGGGTGGAATTTAATATTTCAATTCCGCTTCTGTGTGTACTCAGAAGAAGAAGTATAACTCATCTGGTTAATTTATGAGCTCGGCAGTTTCCTTCAATATCATTGTTGTTGTCTGCTGTAGTGTTTGATCAGTGACGACGCGTGCCCTATCTGGAAGGGTGTGCGGCCCTTCTTTAATGTTGTTTTTACATGTACCACTTATATTAAAATATATGAGATCTTTTATTAATAATAACTATATTATATAAGGCAACAATATATTCGCGCAATATTATATTAACAATTCATTAACAAAATAACATATTAAACAAATTAAATTAATAATTTATATACAAGATTAATATTATATCAATATGGAAGAAACAAAACTTTCACATAATTCTCGTAACATCAAACCAAATTTTTTCAAACAAAAGAGTTTGTACTTAGAAACATACATGTTTGTGCAGTGATCAAACAAAATCGAAACCACTTGCAATGTGCGCACAAGTACCCCGCACAATAAGAACAGAAATTCGTGGGTGCTGCTGTTAAAAGGGGAGAGACGAAATGTGATAGAAATGTATGGTGAGATGAGCTGCAAACTTCAGCCGCTCATGCAACCACTTTGGCAAATCATCATGTTGGATTCGTATGCATACAGTTGATATTCGAATAGAACAGAAAATTACTCTCATACAATTCCCACTATATATGTAAATCTCTATTTCTGATATTACGAACGGGAGCACACGCACATTATTTTGTTCATATGTAACGTATGAATGTGCGGCCAACTTCTTTGCACACAAAGGGGAGAGACGAAATATAATAGAAATGTTCTGTGATTTGAGCTGCAAATATATGAGCACAACTAACAAGTATAGCGGCTAACAGAAGCAAATTAATTGAGTTTTCATAGACAATTATATTTAATTGTTTTTGCTAAAACTTTAAAAATATATATTTATATGGAAATGTAATAAATAATAATAATTCTTGATGTAAAGATACTTAATAAATTTATATACCTATGTTATTTAACATTTTGTAAATTATATTAGGGTGTTCACCGCACACCTCCGCACCTTAGAGCAGTCGTCACTGTGTTTGATCCATAATGATCTCGAAGGTACATAGTTACAGCACATATCATTACGATCTATCAAAATAAGAACATATTATTCTCAACTTTCGTTGCAACATTTCCTTGTAGCAGCTACTCCTTTTGTGAGTTCAACTCTTTTTTAATTACTCTTCCATAGATTTCGTGATGTGCAAATATTTTTATAGTATCAGGTTGTTCAGCGTTCTATATTCTTTGAAAGAGTGTAATCTTATGTTTGAGTTTTTGGGTAGATACTCATAGGGGTATAAAAATTAAATGGGATATGATGGGAATTCCGCCACCATTTGTAGCATTTGTTTTTCCCTAGTTAATTCATAAAAATTTTATTCCCTTTATTTGGTATTAAAGTTTCATTTATTAGGTATTTCATTTCTTTCATCAATTTATGTAAGGCATTATTTTATTTCGTTACCTAGGGCCGTACTCTTTAGTTATAACAGCCTACTACGAGAAGTCTTGGTGCATAAAAACCGAAAAATATGTACAGAAACTTATATACCAATGCCCTGCGAAAGGTATTTCATTTCCTTTCTACTATTCATAACTGGGAATTAATTTACAAATCGTAGTTTGGGAAAATAATTCCTAACGGTTAGAATCTCCATGGTGAAGCTTTGCAATATACAAATAAATAGTCCTTGAAATTTATATATTGTTTACGTGAGGTATTTCCCTTCTCTCCTACAATCCGTGTCTGGGAACTATTCCCGTGACGGGCTTGTAGGTTAGAAGGAAGAACACACTGTCTAAGAAAACAATATGCTCTCCTTCAATCCATATTTTAGAATCTTTTATTATCATTTGGGTATGTGCTTTAAAAATATGATAGGTAACCCAGGAAGTGCGTGAAGCTTTGGTATATAGAAAGCATGTATATAAATAGATTTCACAATGTTAAGATTGAGTGCTTGAAAAAATTCTTCAATAGGATTAGTTTTATTAATATAAGTGTTATTCAAAATACTGTATTATAGTATATATATACAACACTTTACGTCTGCAGATAACATATCTGATTGTTTTTCAATAAACTTAAAACAGAGTTTTGAAAATATAACAAGTATTTGTTATTTACATTAGAAAAGGAATTCAACAATTCAACTTTTTGTCAGATTTTTAAGAATAGAATAGATTTCTGAGAATAGATTCTAAAAATATGGATTCAATAAATATATAGATCTAATACAGGAAGATGTACATTATAATTAATTTTCACACTCTATAACTTTGTTGACTAGTATTGAACAATATTGTTAACAAGTATTGTCTTATTGTTTATGAAAAATAACGCCTTTTTAATTTATTAATTAAACAATGTGAGTTTCGTTATTAATTTTAAAGCATTTTAAGCCGATCTGTGCAAAATTTTAACATTTTATTTCAATTTTATTAAAGGAATTCATTTGAAAAAAAATTAAATATTGGATTTAAAAATTTTCTAACAATTCCCCGCTTTTGTATTCCCAAATATTTCTTGTTATAGTACAAAAAAAAAATTTTTAATTAAAAATATTATTTATTATCAACCATAAATGGATCATCGCTTTAAATAGTAAAGACCAGCCTCTTTTGAGATTGAGATAAAATTGGAAATAAATTTGTTGTTAATAAGAAAAAAAGAGTGTATTTATTTTTTAAACAATTATCTCATTTAAATTAGTTCATCAAATTGGAGTAAATTAATATACGAGTATATGGTATATTCACATTATTTTCAAGAACTTAAATTTAATTATATTAAATGATAGTAGTTGTACAATATACAATGTATTTGATTTTTTTCTCAATCATTTCTCAAAATTGTAATTAATAGTACAATCGTTTAACATTTATAAACAATTTGTAGTGTGATTAAATTAATGTCTATTAATTAAAACACAAATAAAACAGAAAAGTTCAAAGCTTTGAACTCAAACATTCAAATTGCACTAAAACCTCTAAAACATGAACTATAAAAAACATCAACAAACTGATAATAAAAAATAATATTTAACAAATTAATCATCACAATGTTTATAAACAAATTATTTTCTCAGTGGAAAACGCGCCAACAGCACTGATTTTTGAGAACTGAACAGCAACTGATGACGTCTGCTTGAGAAGTTTTTTTTCTGTTGTAGATGTATCTTAGCACGATTCACAAAAAACTCAAAATTTACGTTTTTGCAGAGGTTACTACATACTTGCAAAATTTCTGGGTTTTGTTATCTTTGGGAATTTCTTATGCTCATAGCTCTATCTATATAGGCAAGAAGCAAAAGCGAATTATGTCTGAGATGCTCAAAGTCTAGAGAGATCATCGCGAACTCAGTACGATCGCGTTTGTTGGCCGGTACGGTTTGTGTGTGCTACGCGAACGGAACACAGAATTTGCCAATGGATAATATACCTATATAGTATACACTAAACAGAAAGCTCGATTATGTTAAGCAAAAATTAAGCCAACTGCCACAAAAGAGAAAAAAATATTATTTTTTTTTTATTTAAAATTACGAAAAAAATACAATTTTTGCACTTCAAATTGAGTAGTAAAAAAATAAAAAAAAATAATAAAATAGTGAAAGAAATTTATGTGAAGAAAAATTGTAGGTTGTGTTAATGACAGGCTATAAAATATAAAAAAAAAAATATAAAAATGCATAAAACGAATTGTAATACATTTGCACTTATTTTTGGGGTCATATTTTGTATATTTGGCACACTTTTCGTCAACGTTAATGCCGAGCAAACAGCACCAGTAACTGCAGCCCCACATTCCGCCTATGATAATCGGGGCCATCGCAATGGTGTTACGAATCGTTGGAATCGGGTGTGTGAATAAAATAATTCTATCTTTATAATTTAAGATTTCAATGATATTTACATGAGTCTTACATATATATATATATATAAACTCAATAGTTGCACGTTTAAAATAAGAAAAAAGTGGTACAATAAATTATTATTATTTATATTGAAAAAAAATTGTTATGAAAAACCTAATTAACATGTAATATCTCGTAGTTATAAATAAATTATTTTCAACTTTTTATAGTTAACAATTAATTTTAATTGAAACTTTTTGAGGAAAAAATTACCCGCCAAAATAGCAGCACATTCCATTGAGATATTTGCTTTGGGTGCAGGCTATGTTTATTATAAATTAAATATAGTCTCAAGTTTATAGTAGAAAATTACTGAATTCATTAACAGACAACAAGTTCAATGTTCTACAGCAAAAACGATTTTGATATATTTTTATATTTTGTACTTTTAAATTGTAAATGCAGGTCTAGCTATTTTTTGCAGTTATTTTAATTTCTCTGCTATTCGTTCCCTACATTAAGGTTAGAATGAACTTGAACTGTTTAAGTGGTTAATACCTGTTTTGCAGGATTTATTTCTTTTATTTAAAAAAACAAAAAAAAAAAAATAATATAAATACAAAAATATGCAAATAAGTCAATTTATTTTTGTGATCTGTTTTCAATAAAATACAGCTAAGTCCAAGCACAATGGCACCTCACATCTGCGAGTACAAAGAGGTTTTAGATGGTCTTCACGATCGCGTCGGTATTTTAGCAACAATTGATGAGGACTTACGGAGTCGCCTAGAGAAAATTGACCAAAAGTGAGTAATTTTATGCAATAAGTACACAATAATTTAAAAATACATACCACAAAAAAAAAGAAATAAGTAAATATGAAGAAAAAATTATTAAGAAAACCTTTTGAAGTAAATCAACCTCAACACAAATTTTTATTGCTAAATACTTATTAAATGCTTAATAAATATTTAAAGATTTTTGAAAACATCTTCGAACTTGTTTGCCGCTTCGTACAGGTTTTTCAGCGGCCAGTATTTTAAATTCTTCAAAATGATTTGTCTGGTTTTTTTTTTATAATTCAAAAGTACCGGAAAAAAATCTTAACTGCTGGCCTCAGTAATACATATATATTGACAAATAAAATAAACAAAAACAGATAAAATTAAAAATACTCATAAAAAGATAATTTAAGTTTAAAAGTTGCCGATTACTACTAGAGATGAGAATAAATATAATTACCTATTGTCGCGTGATAAAATAAATAATTATTGGGTAATTAGTAATTAACTTTGTTTGCGGTTAGTCAAAAGTAAGACAAAACGTGGATAAAGTTTTTAAGAAAATTTTTTTGTTTTTTTTATTGGTTTTAATTCTTGATAAATATTTCCTTGATATCTCATAGTTATTTTGAGTATCTGCCAAAAATTTCAAGCTTGATGGCATAATTTTCTGACACCTTTTAACATTTTAGAGTTTATCTTAATGAATGTTTTAGTGATTATAAATATTAATAAAAAAAAAAAATTAGTACAATAAAAAGTACTTTTTATAGTACGAGTACTTTATGTATTTTATATATATAAAATAAAAATGTGATCATATATAAATGCAATTAATAGCTTAAATATATTTATATGTAATAGAAAGTGCTGAATTCTGAATTTTTGCTGTTTGATAAAAGTTTATCTTCTTCGTAGTTCAGATTAAAGAACACTATATTAGTGTTCAGTGTTATACATTATACTTAATCATTATTTACGGCACTATAATATGTACTCTATTCGAAAGTTTCAAAAAGCAAGCATCTTGTTTTTTTTTGCCAAGCTTCGGAGCTATCGAATACACCTAATATGGATAATATATAATCATTAAAACTGTTAAAATTGTGAGAAATTATTACAAAATTAGTCAACCGCAATGTAACTAATAAGTTTGCTGCAATGTAAGTAAAAAGTTTGGATATTATCGTAAACATTATTATCAACCTTAGTGCAGTATGGGCAAAACATTGAAAGAATTTGAAGAGACTGTATAAGAAAAAATTATGCTACGGTGTAAATATCATCAAAAGTCAGACCTGGCTAAGAATATTGTAGTTGTTAGTGAAAGTGTAGAGGAGGGACCCAATTTATTCATTTCAGGGCAGGCACAGCCTATCTTGAGGAATATTTACGCTCAGTTTACGTTTGGATTAGCATATTCGTTCTTTCAATATTCAGCTAACATAAGAACTAAAGTAGAATAAGTAAATTGTGTGTTCCGATAATAACATTTGATTGATGATTCTTCGCATCGAATATGTGACACACTCTATAACTAATTATCATAACAATTTATAATTAAAGAAATTTTAATCCCTGAACATATTTATGCTATATACATACGAAACACATGTGGCTTTAACAGGATTATGTTAGAAAGTTACATGCTCAAACATCTGTAACAGTAATAAGTTCCCTTGTAGCAACTACTCCTTATGTATAATCGGTTAATTTTTGATACGCTTCTATAGATTTCGTTACGTGCGAATATTTCTTTATTGTCAGGTTGTTGGTTTAGCGTTCAACATTCTTCGAAAAGATCTTAGCTTTCCACGACTCTAAAGTAATAGAGTAGATATTCATTTCATTAACGGATTAATCTCTACAAATATTGACATCCGGTTTTAGTCGCCGGATGATTAAGTCATTGCCTTAATTATCAAAATGTTTTGCCCTAAAATTGAAGAAATGCACGTAGAGCACAGCTGGTTGAAAAGGACTATATCAAAACAGGTCGTTGTTATACTCGGAACTTTATTGCTCGAGAAATTTTTCGAACATATGCTCTTATATTTTGATGACGTGAATAGGCAATACAGCTTATAATATGATGCTATTTAATATCAATGGATTTTTATGTGGGATTATATGTATAAAGGATCATGTTTATTTTCTTTTTGGTGTTGTGAATTGGTAACAAGAGCATATGATATGATGAAACTTATTACCACTGGATTATGTGGGATCGTGATAATAAAGACAATTTTTAAAGTATTCATGTTTTGAAAGCAAGCAATTGTCAAATTACTGCCGAGGTATTGCTAGTTATAAACCCAAAAATTATTATAAATTATATTTAAAAGGTTCAGTACTATAAGATGTCAAGTGGAAAACACGTTGATAATGTTGTATTCCAAACCTATTAAAAAGAGCCAAATAAGTTAATAAAATAAAAATTTGGTTAAAATTTCAATCACCACTGTGAATTAGGTACCTTCTCTTTTGGAAACACAAATTGAAAACCCCATTCATTGTGAATAAACACACCGAAATCATTTTACAATAACAGAAATATGCTGTGTGAATAAATGTTTACATGTTTACAGTATCTCCTTTATTCAAAATTCTTAGGAATAACAACCTAAAGAAAACTCCCAAAATATAGGTGACTCAACCGGCTAAAAACTTCATGTACATAATATATTTGTTATAAATTTCTGTGCAATATAAAAAATTTAAAATGAAGTAAAATATAGTTAGTAATTTTACAAGCTTTAGGAGATCCAGCAACCTCATGTCTATCTGGCACTACAAATGTTTATATTAATACAATATCGACCCTAAATCGACTGGTAAATTCGATTTTAGGTTAATCTTAGGGTACGTATGTATAGAGTTTTAAAAATCAATAATGCGTTTAAATGGCATTATTATGTTGGAATCAAGCACTTTTGAACTTTATTATTTGATTGTATTTTTAGTTCAAAGAGAACGAAAGTGGAATAAAATGTTTTTTCAAGCTTAAATCTCTACAATAAAATAATTCACAAATTGCAGCCACATTTAAGGATCCTCTATTTATTCTACGATTATCTGATATCAGTGCATTTTACATTTGTTTTCGGAACCACAACATTTTCCAAGAGTTAATTCGTTTCTTCGGATTAGGCTTGCCATTTTATAATATGGATCGAATAATAATCGCTTAACATCCACAGATATGATGCAGTATTCACACTTGAAGGTGTGATGAAGGTGCTTTTACTACTTTGAAAATGCTAAAAATTTGACAGAAACTGTCAATTCAAATCACATCAATATCAATATCATTTATATCACCTTTTCGAACAAATTACAAAATGGAAGCCCCGTACTAGAGGGAAACCCTCTTAATAGTTAAGATCGGAATATTTTATTAGAAACAACACTTTTTTTAATAAATTATTTAAGAAAATATCATTAAAATTATTGTTCGTTTAAACTAGAGTATTTTTCCATTTTTCTGCCAACTTATGTGTTCCTTGCTACAAAAAAACTGAACCTCCAAAACTCAAAATTAATCAATCCAATTTTTTATGAGTTTAATTAAAGAGAATTGAATTTCCGAGAGGAGATTTTGCATTAAGCGAAATATATGGTATATGAAAGTGGAATGGTTTGGTCTATAAGACGTGGAAGTTAAAACTTCTTACCACTAGCGAGATAGTTTTTTAACAAGTACAGTAATATGTGACCGTCAGGATGGGAAATTATGGAATTGTGTATAGTTGCATTTTCTAATTTTTTTTCGGTTATAGCTCTCTTCAAAAGAATTAGTTGCAATCACATTTTTTGATATATTACAAATTTCTGTCTCTGGAAACAATTTTGCGGGCACATAATGTTTATATAAGACAGCTGTCTGAGGAACTTCAAAATGATATATATGTATTTGGCACTAACTGATTATATCTTATATGTGAGTGATGCCATCCTCTATTAAATATCAGTTAAGAAATTATACAGTCAACATTATTTTTAATACAGTAATGGCAAGAAGAAAATGAAAAGATTTTTATAGTTCAATTATTTGCCAATGGATATATTTCTCTGAGTGACAGCTTTATTTAAAACATATTTTGTTTATAACCTTCGAACATATTTAAAGTTTAATTTAAATATTATAAATTAGTATTACAACTTATAGAATAAAGTTTTGAATGTAGTCAGACAACTCTTACTGAGACAAATTAGTATTAGTAATCGGTTTATGTTTAGTTACGCCTAGAAATTTTGATTATAATTTCTATGACGTCAACACAACTAAACTATTAATATTGTTTAAATAATAAATATAAAAATAAGTATTAAAATGTATTTACTTCCCTCCTCTAATAGTCAAAACAAATTTATTAAATAAAGAATAAATTTATGTTAATAGCTTGAAATTCTGGTTTCTTTGATCTTTTAAATTACGGATATATATAGTATAAGTATCAATAGTTTAGGTTTATTTTATTAAATATTAACATATATATTCTTGATCAGTGTGATGAGTAAAATTATTTTGTAATGCTCATCTGTTTATGTATTAGTATTGAGATAATGAAAACATAATTTTATTCATAAAGAGAGGTGGATAATAATAAAAATAACAATGAAAATTTTATTAATTAATTATATATTTGGATTTTAAATGATAAAATTTTTGTTTGCTATTTTTATTAATACATATCTTTTTTTATTCAGTAGCTTTCTCATGTTTGACTTTAATACATTTAATACTTTAAAGCACTAAAAAAATATTTAGACTATGTTTATTACCAATTATTAAAAAATTTAAATTTATTATAAGTTTATGTGATATAGTACATACATACTATTTAAAATTAATATAAATGATTTTGATTAGTAAAACTTTTAGAGTAAAGGAACCATTTTTCTTGGCATTAAATGACTTATTACACTTTAAAGATAAACTTGATTGTAGAAAATCCTTACATTTATATTCAGAAGACATAATATTTTCATTTAGTTCAGCAGTTAAGAATAATACTTGCTGT